TGGATAACATTGAGAAGAATGGGAATTCCAGAACACTTAATTTTGCTCATGAGGAACCTATACGTAGACCAGGAGGCTGTCATTCAAACAGAACAAGGGGATTCTACATGGTTTAAAATCAGGAAGGGAGTGCATCAAAATTGTATCCTTTCACTGTACTTGTTCAATCTGTATGCTGAGCAAATAATCTGAGAAACCAGGCTATATGAGGAAGAAGGAAGACTCATTAACAACCTATGATACCCAGATGACATAACTTTGCTTGCTGAAAATGAGGATGACTTGAAGCATTTATAGATGAAGATTAAGACTATAGTCTGCAGTATGGATTATACCTTGATATAAAGAAAATTAAAATCCTCACAACTGGACCAATAAGCAGCATCACGATAAATGAACAAAAGATTGAAGTTGTCAAAGACTTCATATTACTTGATTCTATAAGCAACACCAGTGGAAGCAGCAGTCAAGACATCAGATGACATATTGCAATGGGCAAATCTGCTATAAAAGACCTCTTTCAAGTGCTGAAGAGCAAAGATTTCTCCTTGAAGACTAGGTGAGGCTAACCCAAGCCATGGTATTTTCAGTTGCCTCCTATGCATGTGAGACCTGGACAATGATTAAGGAAGACCGAAGAAGAGTTGATGCTTTTGAGTTGTGATGTTGGCGAAGAATACTGCGGGTACCAGAGACTGCTAAAAGAACTAACATATTTGTTCTGAAAGAAGTGCAGCTGGAATGCTCCTTGCAGTGAAAATGGCCAGACTTGGTCTCACCTACTTTGGTCATGTTGTGAGAAAGAACCATTTCCCAGAGAAGGATATCATGTTTGGTAAACTGGAGCATTGATGAAAAAGGGGAAGACCCTAAAGGAGATGGATTGACAGAGTGGCTGCAACGATGGGCTCAAATATAGCAAGGATTATGAGGCTGGCACAAGACTGGGCAGTGTTTCATTCTGTTGTGCACAGGGTCACTGTGAGTTGGAGGCAACTTGACAGCACCTAACAACAACAAACCAAGCCATGGTATTTTCAGTCACCTCATATGCATGTGAAAGCTGGACAATGAATAAGGAAGACTGAAAAGACTTGATGCTTTTGAACTGTGGTGTTGGCAAAGAATGCTGAAAGTACCATGGACTGCTAAAAGAACTAACAAATCTGTCCTGGATGAAGTGCAGCCAGAATGCTCCTGGGAAGTGAGAATGGCCAGACTTGATCTCACCTACTTTGGTCATGTTGTCAGAAGAGACCATTCCCTGGAGAAGAATATCCTGCTTGGTAAAGTGAAGGGTCAGCAAAAAAGGGGAAGGCCTTCAACAAGATGGATTGACACAGTGGCTGCAACGATGAGTTCAGGTATAGCGAGGATTGTGAGGCTGGTGCAGCACCAGGCAGTGTTTTGTTCTGTTGTACATAGGGTCACTATGAGTCAGAGCCAACTTCACAGCCTAACAACAACTTCTTTAGGTACCAGGACATTGTCCATCTGGCAGGGTGGACTTACCTTCAGCTTATGCTCCAGGATCTTCTCCTGCTCTCTCAGAATGTTTTCTCTTTCCTTGTTCATCTTCTCCTTCAATTGCTCCATATTTTCCTTGAAGCTCCCCTCTTGAGCCTCCATCTTTTGGTGCTGCTCCTCCTGTCTCTGTTGCAGCAGTTCATTTTCCTTCTTAGCTGCCTCCATCTTGGCCCGCTCCACTATCCCAACAAAGATTGTAGAGTGGGAAGAAAACACATGTCAGGCCTGTACTCTACCCTCTTGAGGTCAGACATGAACTGACTGAAAAAGGGAGATGGCAAATCTCTGAATTCTCACAATATCCCCACCAAGGACACTTCAGAATATTATGGGAAAGCCCATGACTGTTTGGTGGGACATACAACTCCCCGTCATTATTTCAGACTCTGCAGAGTCTATGTTCCTTAGAAGACAGGAAGCTCATTATTTCAGTAGACTTCCTTTTCAGATCCATCAGAGGGCATTGCAGGAGTCCCCAACCTACTATGGGTTGATCCCTGCCCCTGTACCTTCTATTGCCTTCTGTCTTTCCGTGAGGGCTTTGTCTGATTGCAGGATGTTTTCCTCTATTGGCTCCTGTGCCTGCTGGAAGCTCTGGAGGACTTTGTTCGCCTGAGGAAACAACAAGGATCAAAAACAGGTCAAGCAACAAGGATGTAGTCTCTTACTGGGAAATTATTGTTCCATAAAACCCCAAATCTGATCCTGAATAATCTGAAACCTGTATAGGATCCCCCAGTGCTTCCTTTCAGTCTACGACCACAATGAAAATTCCAAGCCCATTTGTAGACATGAAAATCCTCTATGGCAGCCTCCTTCCTAGCCCTCCAGTCTCCACTTCCAGTAATGCTGCTCACCACCCACCCAGGTTACAACCAGCCAGAGTTGTGTGCAGTTTCACAAACACATAACATATATTGCTTTCATGTATTTCCACATTCTTCTGCATGGATGCGATTCTAGCCTTTCTTAACATCTATCGGTTTTTCAACTTGTATCACCTATCTCTTCTCCCAAGGTTTAGAATAGATGTAAAGTACTCTAAGCAGCCCTACCAGCTCTACTACTCACTTGCTGTGTGACCTTGAGCAACTTGTCAATTTTCTGTGTAACACATTTATTAAGGGTATAATGTGTAGCAATGTTGTTGTTAGGTGTAGAGTCTGTTCTAACTTGACCTTATGTACACAGAACAAAACTCTGCTGGTCCTGTCCTGTGCTATCCTCACAACCATTGCTATACTTGAGCTCACTGTTTCACCCACTGTGTCAATCCATCTTGTTGAGGATCTTCCTCTTTTATGTTGACCCTCTACTTTACCAAGCATGATGTCCTTCTCTGGGGGCTGGTCCTTCCTGACAACATGTCCAAAGTATGTGAGACGAAGTGTCACCATCCTTACTTCTATGGAGCATCTGGCTATACTACTTCTGAGATAGATTTGTTTGTTCTTCTGACAGTCCATTGTATATTCAATATTCTTTGCCATAGCCATAATCCAAAGGCATTGATTCTTCTTCAGTCTTTCTTATTCATTTTTCACAACTGACATGCATATGAGGTGATTGGAAATGCCATGGCTTGAGTCATGAACACCTTAGACCTCAAAGTGCCAGCTTTGCTTTTTAACACCTTAAAGAGATCTTTTGCAACATATTTCCCTATTGCAATATGTCATATGATTTCTTGACTGCTGCATGGGCATTGATTGTGGATCCAAGTAAAATTAAATCCTTGACAACTTCAATCTTTTCTCCATATATCATGATTTTGCTTACTGGTCCAGTTGTGAGCATTTTTGTTTTCTTTATGTTGAGGTGTAATCCATACTTAAGGCTGTAGTATTTGGTCTTCATCAGTAAATGCTTCAAGTCCTCTTGACTCTCAATAACTAAGGTGGTGTTATCTGATATCATAGGTTGTTAATGAATCTTCCTCCAATCCTGATGACACATTCTTCTTCATATAGTTCAGCTTCTCATATTATTTGCTTGGCATACACACTGAATAATATGGTGAAAGAATACAACCCTAAGGCCTACCATTCCTGATTTTGAACCATGCAGCATCACTTTGTTCAGTTTGAATGACTGCCTATTAGTCTATGTAACAATTGCAGTATTATCCATAATTTGGTATGATCCACAAAGTTGAATGACTTGCATAGTCAATAAAACATAGCTAAACATCATTCTGGTATTCTGTTTTCCATCTGATGTCATCTGATATTTCCCAGATCCTCCTGATATCAGCAGTGATATCCTTCATTCCACATCCTCTTCTAAATATGGCTTTAATTTCTGGCAGTTCCCTGTCTGTATACTGCTGCAATGTTTTTTTTTTTTTAATTTTTGAATTATCTTCAGCAAAATTTTACTTGTGTGTGATATTTATGATATTGTTTAAGAATTTCCACATTCTCTTGGATCACCATGCTTAGGAATGGGCACAAATATGGGTCTCTTCCACTCAGTTGGCCAGGTAGCTGTCTTCCAAGTTTCTTAGCATAAATGGGTGATTACTTCTAGTGTTGCATCCATTTTTTGAAACATTTTAATTGGTATTCCATCAATTCTTGAAGCCCTGTCTTTCACTAATGTCTTCAGTGAAGATTAGATTTGTTCCTTTAATATCTGCAGTTCTTCATCATATGCTATGTTCTGGAATGGTTGAGAGAAAATAATACTTTTTGATACAGTGACTCTGTATTTTCCTTTTATCTTCTCTTGAGTCTTCCTGTTTCATTCAATATTTTGTCCATTGTTGTTGTTGTTGTTATTTGCCATTGAGTCGGCCCCGACTCATAGCGACCCCTTCTTGGGTTTTCGAGGCAGTATCACTACGGAAGTAGGAATGCCCAACCTTCCTTCCGAGGAGTGGCTGGTGGGTTTGAACCGCCAGCCTTCTGGTTAGCAGTCAAGTGCCTCAGCCACTATGCTACCAGAGCTCCTTAAAATCCTTCAATACTGCAACCCAAAGTTTTATTTTTTTCTTCAGTTCTTTCAGCTTGAGAAATGCTGAGCATGTTCTTCACTTTTGATTTTCTAATTCCAGGTCTTTGCACATTTCATTATAAATCTTTATTATGTCTTCTTGAGCTGCCCTTTGAAATCTTCTGTTCAGCTATTTTATTTTATCATTTCTTTCATTTGCTTTAGCTACTCTACATTCCAGAACAAGTTTGAGTGTCTTTTCTACCATCCATTTTGGTCTTTTCTTTCTTTCCTGTCTTTTTAATGACTTTTTTCTCTCTTCATGCATGATGTCCTTGCTGTTACCCCACAACTCATCTGGCCTTCAGTGTCCTCAGTGATCAATGTGTCAAATCTATTCTTGAGATGGTCTCTAAATTCAGGTGGGATATACTCAAGGTCATAGTTTGGCTGTGGTCGACTTGTTTTAATTTTCTTCAGCTTCAACTTTAACTTACATATGAACAATTGATAGCCTATTCTGCAATCAGTCCCTAGCCTTGTTATGACTAATGGTATTGAACGTCTCAATCATCTCTTTCCACAGATGTAGTCAATTTGATTCCTTTATGTTCTTTTCAGCAAGTTCCATATGCATAGTCACCCTTTATGTTGCTGATAAAAGATATTTATAATGAATAAATTGTTGGTCTTGAAAAATGCTATCATATAACCTCTGGCATCGTTTCTTTCACCAAGGCCATATTTTACAACTACTGATCCTTCCTCTGTATTTCCAAGTTTTGCATTCCATTCGCCAGTAATTATCAACCTATATAGATGGTATGTTTGATCAATTTCAGACTACACAAGTTGCTAAATATATTCAGTATCTTCATCTTTAGCCTTAGTGGTTGGTGTTTAAACTTGAATAATAGTCATATTAACTGATATTCCTTTTAGACATACGGATATTATCCTATCACTGACAGCATTGTACTTTAGGATAGAGTTCAAATTGTTCTTTTTTGATGATGAATATAACACCATTCCTCTTTAATCTGTCATTCCCACTATAGTAGACTGTATGATTTTCTGATTTAAAATGGCCAATACCAGTGAATTTTAGCTCACTAATGTCTAAGATATCCATCTTTATGAGTTCCATTACATTTTTTACAACTTCCAATTTTACTAGATTCATACTTTGTACATTCCACATTCCAGGTATCAATGAATGTTTACAACTGTTTCTTCTTATTTTGAGTCATGTCACATCATCAGTTGAGGGTCCTAAAAGCTTTACTCCAGCCACATCATTAAGGTAGACTCTTCTTAATGACAAACTTAGCTTTGAGGAGGTAGCTCTTTCCTCGTCATAATTTGAGTACCTTCTAACTAAGGGACTCATCTTTTGTCACTATATCAGACAATGTTCTGCTGCTATTCATGAGGTTTTCACTGGCCAGTTTTATCAGAAGTTGATCACTAAGTCCTTCTTCCTAGTCTGTGTTAATCTGGAAACTCCACTGAAAGCTGTTCACCATGGGGGACCGTGGTAGTTAAATTTGTATGTCAACTTGGCTGGGCCTGGTTGAGTGTCTGGGCAGCTGGCGGTAATCATTCCCCATGGTGAGACTGGCAATCAACTCCATGGTGGGATCTATACCACAAGCAGCTGAGTAGTTGCTTTGGATATGTGGTCTGCTTCCTGTATATAAGGAGAAGCCTTGTGGATAGTCTCTAGCTTATGGCACACTTGGACCCTGCATGTAGCCATGTCATGCCATGCTCTGCTAACCTTGGGACTTACAATGGACTTGAATTAATGGCCTGCTGTGTGGTTTGGTAATATTGGGCCTGTGCCTTTTTACTCGTCAACCTCGGGCTTGTCAGTCTCAGCAGCCAGCAGCTATCTTAGTGAAGAAAAGGCTCTAGCTCCAGTGGGCTGGGAGCAGGAGGCAGAGCTGAAGCCCAAGGTTGAGGGGCTCTCACCCAGCCCTTAGAGCCTGGCACTTTGAACTCAGACTTAAAGCTTTCAAACTGTAAGAGAATAAACTCCTGTTTGTTCAAGCCATCCCATTTGTGGTATATTCTTGTCAGAGCAGCACTAGGTAACCAGAACAGTGACTCTGCCAGTATTTGTAATACTGGTGGCATAGCTTCCAGCACCACAACAACACCCAAGCCATCACAGAACACAAACTGACAGTGGATGAGTGGTGGAATAGTAGTAATACTGTAATAATATTGTGTTGTTGGGTGCCATTGAGTTGATTCTGACTCATAGCAGCCCCATGTGACAGAATAGAACTGCCCCACAGGGTTTTCTCGGAGCTCTGGTAGCATGGTGCCTAAGGCACTTGACTGGTAACCAGAAGGCTGGTGGTTCAAACCAGCCAGTCCTCAGAAGAAAGGTTGGGCAACCTACTTCCGTAGTGATACTGCCTCAGACCCAAGGAAGGGTTGCTATGAGACAGGTCCTAGTTGACGGCACAATAACAACATAGGGTTTTCTAGGCTGTAATCTTTAAGGGAGCAGATCTCTTTATACTATATATATGTGTG